TGCATGCAACCGGTGGAATATATTAACATTATTATATTGCAGTAATCGTTGAAAAACTTCTTCCTATGCTGGATATTCGCGCAAAGCTACAAAGAGCCATCTACGCCTACTGTCTCTAATTTTGGACTGATAGACTATTGGGAAGGCAGCTAGTCAACAGTAACCCACCGCCAACTTTTGGGATCATTTAATCGAATAATGGCAAGAGTGAAATAAATTAATGTTTAATAAATTTCCTGAACTTTACATAAGTATGTAGATCAATATTTTTATTAAAAATTATGTTTCCTGTTCTCTACCTTCGTTTTTAATTCTCTAAAAATTATTTGATAGTCAAAATTCTCACCAAATCAACCAATTTGCTTATTTAGTTCATTCAGCTCTGTTTTGACGATATTAAATTCTATCATAAACAAGTTTTCAGCGAGAATTAACAGGATTATCATTGTTATATTTTACACATTAATTTGCGTTGGAAACTCTAAAACAAATGGAAAATGTTCTAAGTTATTCGTGAAACCCTTCATTCCTAAATCATGACAAATAATGATTTACAAAGCTTGGATAATTACTAGTTAGTGGGGAATCTAGGTCACATTTAATGTAGCTATCAACAAGTTTTAAAAAATTCTCAAGAAGTACTCAGGCGATGAGCTGGACAAAATCTGAGTAACAATAGCTGCAAATGTCAGTTTTCCAAAGAAGTGCAGAAGGAGGTTTTAAAATACGTTGTTTCTTGTTGTGAAATCTACATATATATCTATTCATATACTATTTAATTAGTTCTTGATTATAACCTTTCTATAAACACGCTTGTTTTTTTACTACAATTAAATGACGATTCTTATCAGCCACTTCCTTTCATAGATTTCTATTCTTTCAGCTGATTTATGATGGTAGTATTGCATCCTGATAAAAATAATATCAATTTTGTCCATTTTTTAATAATACTCGGGGTAATTGCACTTCATAGAAAATATTAATATATGCTAACATAGTAATGTGGTGCCACAGGCGATATGTTTAGCGAATCCTCAACCATTTTACATGTAATGTATTACGAATAGACTTATAGTTTGAGGAACATGTCACAATCTTTTTTTGAGAAAGGTTATTCGCACGGCGAAATTGTAAAACGGTATTGAATGAACTAAAGGACACAAATTTCGGAAAAGGAATCTTCAGCGTTCTGCATGTAAGTAGAAAAATTCGCTTAGCAGAGAGTTTAGAAAATATCGGACTATAAAACCACATCCCAAGCCAATCCAGAGTAGTACCATCATTCATAAAGTATGGCCCGGCATAGCCAGGTGGTTATGGAGCTCGACTCGCAATCTGCGGGTTCGAATCCCCGTCCCACCAGCCCTTTCAGCCGTGGGGGCGTTATAAGTGACAGTCAAACGCACTATTCGTAGCTCAAGAGTTGGCGGTAAGTGGTGATGACTAGCTGCCTTCCCTCTAGTCTTACACTACTAAATTAGGGACTGCTAGCGCAGATGGCCCTCATGTAGCTTTGGGCGAATTTCAAAACAAACAAACAAATATTCATAAAGTGAATACTATAATTATGAAGGAGAGCCTTCCGATCCAAAAAACCATTACGATGAGCTTGAACATGTCTTCTAGTATCGGTAAAAAGATAATAAATAAACTTTTAATTTTGACAAAGGTTCCAGTCACACCTCGAAATCAACAATTATTTTCGTAAAAAGCAACAGCTGAAGGCACTGGAATGAATTTTTGTACCTTGGCTCTGTATAATTGCGGCCTTCTTAGTCAGCATCCATTTAAAATGGAGGATCTGTAGAATGTTTATCAAGATTGTTGTCTCAAACTGACTTTGCAGAAGCTTGTTGCAGTATAAACTGCGTTGTCAGGTAATAGTGTGTAGTCATGGCCTTCAGGCTGAGCATAATTTACAATGGAATAAATAGTTCTAAGAGTAGCACGAACTTGGAACAACACTCATAATTTTGAACCTTAATATAAATACAGTTTTACTTACCTCCGCAGCATGGCAACATCTACAAAACCTATATCAGTGAAAAATGATTATAAACTGATAACTTTATTTACATCCATCAATTTCAGAATTAATCTTCTTTTTTTTTACCCTTAAGAATGATATAATTATATTAAGACTTAAGTAAAAAAATATTATTGAAATACTTGTATCTGTATGATCATATCTGTAATCGATATCTATTTCATGATTAGTTATATCAGTATATTTAAGAGCTATTCAGTTGGATTTTTCTACTTTGTTAACTGTAAGTATCAATAAGGTTATATTGTATAGTGGTTTCCTTGAGCTAAAAAATGGATTTCCTGTCTTAAAAATGATTATTTTCAGTATTTTCCCTGTAATATATTTGATGCACATTACGTTGTTCTATGTAAGGATGAAAGATGCTTTGGCGCCGATAAAATCTTCTCTTTTACTTCTGATGTTGTTCTTTCGACTGGTGATCTTACTGTACAATAGTTAAACCCTTCTTGATCTTACTGTACAATTACTAAACCCTTCTTGATCTTACTGTACAATAGCTAAACCCTTCTTGATCTTACTGTACAATAGCTAAACCCTTCTTGATCTTACTGTACAATAGCTAAACCCTTCTTGATCGTACTGTATGATTGAGTCTTACGATTTTAAAAAGAAAGACTTTTTGAAGAATGCTAAGCACGACTGTGCATGGTATGGTCTTTTTCTATAAATCAATACGCTAAAGAAATCTCTTGGGACTAACTAATATCACGTACTATATTTTAAATTCTGATTAAATTGAATGGGAAAATTGAAACTTGTTTGTATTCCTACATTTGTTGTCTTTTTTTCTTTCTGAAACTTCTACACAAATACATAGAGCCTTCGCATCTGTTGCTGGAATAGTTTTTTATTTATTTACATATTTTTTTCATCGAAATTCGTAGTTTTTACTTTTCACTTTAACGAATATATTGTTTTCTTAAAACGAGGCACGTGTTTTGATAGGATAATTTCAATTTCGTAAAGAAAAGCGTCGATTGCCGAGAAAAAAAAAAGAGAAAAATTTGTAGATAATCCCCAAAATAGAAGAGTTGGACTTTTTTCTATTGGATCAGTGCATTAAGACTTAATGCTGTTTTTTTTTGTTGTTGTTGCATTTGTCGTCCAAAAATCTTAGCTTTTCTCATCAGTGCAGCATCAAAGTTACCCAGTAGAGCTAAACTGGTCAGGTGTGTTTTGTAATTTTAGCCAGCAATCATAGTTTAACAAAGCTTGCAACCCTATTTCTTTATTTCCAAATAGCAAGACTGACTGTCACTTTTATAACGCACGCACAGTTGATAGTGCAGAGCGTGTTCGAATACATCACTCTTGAACTCTGAAACTTTGATATGCTGCTCAGCACGCTAAACAATAGACCACACCCGGCCCAGTTTTTACAAATAGTTTGTTATATGTTTGAAATTTTCACGCAAAGCTACGCCAAAAGCTACCTGCGCATAGTGGTCCGTAATTCCGAACTAGTGGAAAGACATCTAGTCAACAGCACCTACTTCCAGTTCTTGAGCTACTCTTGTCTGACCGAATAGTGGGATTTGATTGCACTCTTCTAGTGCATCCACGATCACAAAGTACGATGCACGTCTTTGCAACAACGGGTCGGAAAACATGAATTCTCAAATTCAAATTCCGACACACTATCTACTATGCCACGCCTAACACTCTACAAACAGATGTTTAAAGATAAAGGAGAATTTGGGGCCTTTCGACCTCTTTTGAATTCAAGATACTGTTACTTATATTACAAAAACACATCAACTAATTATTATTTTTTTTAACACTAAAAGAGAAAGAACAAAAGCTGCAGGCAAAGCCAAAGTCTTTGGTTTTTGATTTAGTTTAAAAACCGATTCTGATTAATAACAGAAGCCCCCCAGTGGCACAGCGGTATGTCTGCGGACTTACAATACTAGAATCCGGGTTTCGATACCCGTGGTGGGCGGAGCAGAGATAGCCCATTGTGTAGATTTGTGCTTAATTACAAACAATAACAACAGGAATTGCAAAACAAAATGAAGCTGTATAATTGCTCACTCTGAATGTTATATTTTGTAACAATTCAACGGAAACAGAAATTGTTTAAACGATTTAGATTACTATAAAACTATAGGCCCGGCATGGCCAGGTAGTTAGGGCGCTCGACTCGCAATCTGCGAATCCCCATTATACCAAACATGCTCGCCCTTTCAGCCGTGGGGACGTTATAATGTGACGGTCAATCCCACTATTCGTTGGTAAAAGAGTTGGCGGTGGGTGGCGATGACTAGCTGCCTTCCCTCTAGTCTTACACTGCTAAATTGGGACGGCTAGCGCAGATAGCTCTCGTGTAGCTTTGCGCGAAATCCACAACAAACAAATAAAACTATAATACGTAAACAGAAAATATAAATTTACTCTTCTTATTTTACCGCTTAATGTTCCGAATTTATGTAAACGAATTGAATGGGTATGAGACGGTGTTAATAGAGAGCTGACAATGTTTATTTATCAGGTGACATATGAATAACTATTTTTGTTTTTCCTTAATCGTTTTAAAAATATCGTCCAACTTTATAAAATAGCTCAAAATAAATTGGCAAGTCAGATATAGTTTATTTTGTATAAGACTGTTTATTCTAAATAGAAAAACTTCACAAATTACCTCTGTTATCAAAATGTATGAAATTGATATAAGAAAATAAATGTACAGCGTTATTATAATGAACACTCCCTATCTAGTAAACCAGCCCCACATCAGACAATAAAACATATTTACAAACGTTAATTACCATGCGAAATATGATTTTATTGCTATGAACTGATAAAACTACCTGGAGATTTGTTACTGAATACAGAAATATATCCAAACCTCGTATGAAAAAAAAATTATATATATATATTAGATGAACATCGTAACTCAGTTCTTATCAAGTAAAGAGTAAGCAATAAAGAAAACGAATATCGGTTTTGTTTTCATCCGAACTTCTTTTTCAAAATATTAGTAAAGAAACAAAAGATCTCGAGTGAGTAACATATATTCGTTTATTAAAATTTGGTAAAGCTACGAAAATATCAGTACTAAAAATCATCACATACAATCACTACAAGCCTATAAGTTTTCCCCGAATACAATTACGCAACATTCTTTCATATTAATAACATCACGTAAAGATTAGCCTAGTTTTGAGGTAATTTTTACCTTTTCTACACCTTATTAAAATATATTTCTGCTAGTAATATAAATATCCAATCCTTTCAACCTTTAAGAAAGTAATTAACTTTGTCTTATTTTATTATGTTATTTTAACTGTATTTTGTTATTTAAAATCTCACTGTTTAATTCAAGTATTATCACGCCATCTTATTAAAAACTAAGTGTCATATCAAGGTATTGTCGAGGCTTTTAGGATAACCCCATTATTTACAAGCGCACTGCTTTATGGCAAAAGAAAACAAAATCAAATTAACCTCACTGCCAAAATGGCAGTGTTCATTGTTTTAATTCGTTCTAATATTCATAGATATTAACTGTGGAAAAATATTTCCAGCAAGAATAAATGCTTAAAGTTTATGTTTGAAGCTAACTAGTTCGCAATTGCATACTTTAGTAAAATATGATTTATGTTGTCTATTAGGAGCACTGAGAATCTAAGAAAAAAACACACACACAATAAAAATAATAATAATGATTAATTACTACGCGTGTCAATTTACATTAGATATACGAAAAATAAAAATTCGTTCGTATATAATTTGGTTTCGTTAAATCCAGATTATTTCGCACCTATAAATTATTTTGTAAAAGTTATTACAAACAGAGCTGGATTAAGACCACAGTGGGTCCATAGCGAACTTCAGCTCTATGGGGCCCCCTTCATAAACCCTCTTGTTTTGTATCGAAATTTTACCCATCTAAACAACCTTTTAGCTAATATAATGCTCTTAAGTACTAGTTTCCAACTTAAAGAATCATAGGAGAATCATGAAAAAGCATAACCATCGCTCTGCTTGGTTACAAGTAACAATAACTAACTTACGACCAGCAAGAAGAAAACAGATAGAAGATAATTAGTTTCTCTAGGATTCTGCAGAAAACGACAAAAACGTACGAGTTTTACATAATCCATGTAATAATTCATTTCGTTTTGTATTACAGCTATAACTGCCAGCTAGTATGCTCATTTACGTAATTGTAACTCCTAAGATAATGCCAAGAATAACTCCAATTGTTACAACAGCAAGAATTATCCATAACACAATTAAGTGGCCTTGACAACATACTTTGTCTACAGTGTACTGATCTTCCACTTTGGAAGAGTAACCAGGAGGTGGAGTTCTCAGTTTGTAAGGATCTCTCATAGGTAAGGGCTCCATTCCGACCGCTGGATACACCATTGGGCGGGGACGCATCATCGGAGGTAAAAAGTGAGGAGGGATAGGAGCATTTGTTTGCAGTGGAGATGGCTGAAATGGTGGTGGAGGACCCATTGGTAACATCTGCATAGAGCCATGAAACATTTTTTTATCCAGCATTGGTGGCGGAGGTCCCGTGTTATACACCGGACCTCTCAAATCATATAATGACCCGTATCGGCGCATTACATTAGGAGCAGGTCCATGTGGATGCATTGAATGACCCCCGTGTACTGGACATGGCTCTCCATCCCAAGTAGCAATAGCCAGAGCAGGCACACTACGGGTAGACCGCAGCGTTCCCGATCGGAAAGGGCCAGGATATCCTGTTACTGGAGGCCCAACTGGGTAAGCGTCTGGAGGATGACTCATCATTGAATTTTGTGCTATTTGGGATCGCTCCTCGCTTCTACTTCGAGCACCTCGGCTCTGAGATCTTCGAGGTGGTTGTCGTACGATAGGAGTTTCATCGCGATCATCTGAAGATGACGACGTTTCAGAAGTAGAATAGGGTCTGTGAGGTGGATGAGACCGAGCTGTCCGTTGGAAATGCATGTCTCTCTGTCGAAAAGCCATCGAAACAGTCCTTAAATCAACGAAGCTGTCTCTGAAGTATTTCTTAACTTAGTTTCCGTTCTTCAGAGTGACCTAAATATGATCTGTAAAAAAGAAAAAAAAAAGACAATAATGATAACACTGTTATATTTAATGACACAAAACGTCACATAAGATGTTTTGAAATAATAGATAGGAAAAAATTTATGTATGTATGTATGTATATACGAGACCAGGAATTGGGAAATGCCCGATAAAATCCAATCCGATATTAATGTTATCGTTGTGTCAGATAATCAGATAGCATTTTCATTAGGAACCACAGTATTATGTAGGCATGATACTACTTGCACGTGAACGACACATAATAGGTATGGCGTCACTTAGCCCCACTGGTGCTTAATATCAGGTTTTAATTAAACAAAGTAGCGTTTCCTCCGATATTAAAGAGTGGCAGCCTTAGTAGTCACCATGCCCATCTAATGTGTTATCACTAAATGTCACAAGGGGTTACTAACGGTAGCACAATCCAAACAACATTCTCGACAGAGAATCGGGAGTATAATGTACTATATCACGGCGCCGCGTGCTGCATTCCCTTAAAAGGGTCTGCAATGGCTGCTCATTCATTCAGAATTGTATATCCTCGTGCACAATCATATTAATTTTTCAAAAAACAATGATGAAGTAACCAATTTAATTGTAGATTTAAGAATTTTAATGAACTGCATCTGCCTGTTGGGGGAAAAGGACACAACATTTCAGCTTCTATATCTGAAGAAAGCCTCAGTATAGAAACAGAAACTTCGTCTCATTTTCCCCTCAATATGCAGTTGCAGTCCGTTAAAGTTCTCAAACTTACTATGTCTAAAGTTCCGTTTAAACAACTAACTTAATTCTATACTATAAGGAAGTGGTAGCCCAAGCCTGCGGCACATTGTTAATATGTATGGACACATCTACTATCCGACCAAAACTACTAGTTGTCCCTTCCTTAGTTTTCCACTTGTAGCAAGTTATCTACAAATCACTTACTGACGAAAAAAAAAAAGGACAAGTTGTAAAAACAACGTATCACGCCTAGTGAACGTCATCACAAAGATTTAACAATAACAGGAGAAAAGGCCTTCCAAACAGCCGATAATAACAATGAAACTTATAGCTTCATGATGTAAGAATTGTACAAATGAATACTGAGACAAGTGGTGGGTGCGGTAATTTTGAATTAATAAAGTTTGTGACTATTCATATTCTCATAATTGAGAGATAACCTTCTTATTATTATTGTGCATCAGAAAATTTGTACACTGCTTCAGCGAGAAGCATAAGAAAGTAGATAAAGGAAAGAAGTTAAATAATCACATTCATCTATTTATTATTTCTAATAACTTAGGAGTGAAAGTAAAGAAAATGTATAAAAATATATGTCAAATACTCTATCTATTCTGTATCCATTTCTGAAGAGGCCGCCTTTCGCTCAATACCAGAGCTCATCAGGATGACTGGGATACGACAGACACAGTAGTTGCCGAGATGTTATTTAAATTATTAACTTGGATGAAAAACAACTGTTGTGGTGCGAAAGTGTCATTTTTATCAATTTTATATGAGTCACTTATAAATCATAATTAAGGTAAGGATTAATAACGCAATATTATTTATTCATTTCAAACCTAATTATCTATTGTTATTATTATTTATTTTTACTTGAATTACCATTACTCGTCATTCAGATGAACTAGCGAACGAGTAAGTTAATCTTATTGTTCCCGGAGCGGTCCAGCAACCACAGAGTTAACGAGAGAAGACGACGTTAGTAATTCTATGAAATTATGAGTGAAAGTTATTTTGTTGTTGTTTTTAGCACAAAGCTACACAATGGTCTATTTGCTCTTCATTCACTGCAAGGAGTCGAATCCCGGATCTTAGTGATCTTAGGGGGACATGAGTTAAAATAAAGAAAAAGGTATAAAAATATGTCAATCACACTATCTCTGCTACTCCTCGAGCTTCAAAACAATCAGTGAACACAAACATCTAATCCCATATAAGCTATCTGTTGGGTCGGTCGTGGTCTAGGTTAGTCTGTCGCGCTACTCATATGAAGGTTCAAGGTTCACACCACAGTGCCATTGTACACGCTCTTCATTTTCAACTGTGTGTGCATGTCTGTTTAGTTTCTTTGTCCAACTGACACGCTATCAAGAAATAAACGTAATGATGGTATAATCTAAAACTAAATGATGAACCTTGTTTATAGCGTTTATGCTAAGAATATTAAGTAAAAAATCGAAGGTTTCAATCCATTAGATATAATGACAGTTAAAAAGTACTGCTATTTACGTACTAGATGTTAGAATGCTAATAAACGTAAAGTCTCTATATAATAATAACGAAACTATTTAGTTTCTCTTGAGTCTAAATACGTTCGTGTATTGAGAAATAGAACTCGGGTACACACAAAGGCAAGAAAGAGAATCAAGTCGTACAAAGTGCTGTATCACTTTATTAAAGAGATATTTTCGAAATATGAATGAATGTAAGAATCACCCGAAATATAAGAATATACAAGGAGGTCTTAATACTGTCGTGCAGGGGCAAAATAAGAGGTCTAAGTATAATTACAGACTGTCAAAGAATGTATAAATTATAGGTTAAAAGTTTATGGACTGTGGATGAATAACGTTATTGTAAAATTATATATATATATATGAATTATGACAAACGTTTAAAACTAATGCGTATAAACAAATCAACAGTATGTCATTTAACCTATAAAGTGTACAAATCAAGAATGAAAACATTGGAACAGTAGGCTTTAGGGGTCCCCGAAAGTGTTCTGTTTCAAGAGTAAATAAAACTAAAATTAAGAGAAACAAATATTTTGTATTTCTTGCTTTTGAAGTTCACATGTCATGCTGTGTTGTAGCCTACAGAGTGCAGAATTCTTCTCGTGATTCATGGCATGCGCACGTCTTAAAGTACAGATTATGTGACGTCATTTTAGTGTATACGGACAGACAATACACTACTGTATAGTGGTGCGAGAGGTTAAAACAGTAATCCCCCTCCAGGCGACCTTCGGTCCCCTTTCGGGAAAACGATATTCGGTTACATTGATATCCAACAGAAAGTTACGAGTATCTACAATACACAGCAGTTTTAGGAAACGTTAAGTAGAAACAATTTCGAACACGGATAACAAAGGTAAAAGAACAAACACAAGTAATTATATAAAACAGTTTTTTTCATACAACAAATGAAACGTATAGCTGGGACTTTGCCTAAACTAACTAGCTTCTATGTTCTGTATAGAACTTCTCAGGGTGCTGGCGAAAACGTGTTTTCACGAGCTATAGAAATAACAATGAGACCATATTTTCAATTCAGAGAAAATGCCAAATGAGCTTTCCAATAATACAAGATTACCTACGTTAAAGATAATTTCTATGTTGCTTTTTCCAAAAAGATAAACCACCAGCTTATACTGACTTGTACAAGTGTCTATATCGCCCCTCGCTCCAGGAAGGCATGAAACAAAAACAGGGTCAGGCGAGTAATATAAATAATATTCATTGTGATTTGTAAGTTCTGTCAAAACTAGAGGATTAGGCGCAGCCTGGCAATAAGTTTTTGTTTCTAAATTTTCAAGTATCCTTGAGTAGTATATTGTTTGTTTATATTCTGGGTACTAACCGTAGTATACCACAGCTGCCACAGTAAATTTTTGGTCATTATATGTGAGCGCGTAGGACTGGATATGTATATTTCTCCTTCAGAGTAAGTCAGAGAGAATCGACAATTTTTGAGGATAGTTTTCATTTCACTTTTTAAACCTGTAACAGATAAAACTTTATTATTTTACAACTATTTTAATCCTAAGAATCCGGAGATGTAAGATGTTTAGTACATAAACCTATTGCTACAGGTTTCCCTACATCTCTTTAGGTTGTACGTGAGTAAAGGCCTGTTATTAGAATCGTGATATAACTATAGTAAACGATACTGATTCTCAGAGAAAAAATAAACAAACACACATTATTTCGTATTTTGTTTAACAAAAATAGTTTGCAACCTCTTGAGATTGACATCTTATATAAGTACACAGCACAGTAGCTTCATTTTCCCCTTACTGGTTCAAGCACAGACATTAGATTCCATCGATAGTATGCGGTTTCAATCCCCCCCCCCCAAAAAAAAGCAACAATAACAACAAACAAACAAAAACTAATATTACATTAAAGAAATTTCAGGAACTCAAAAACTGAAGAAAAATAGACGCTAGTTTTATGTGCAAACACATGAAAAAAAGTTTTCAGACAAACGACCACAAAGACTTTACTGTTCTACATGTTTAAAATTGCAATAAAGAAAAACTACATATTTTGTATATACTAAAGCAACTTGTTTTATTCAGCGGTAATCACAGTAAGTAAACTTTTACAAGTTACGTTATAATGAAGTAAATTTCTTTAATTCGATGGAATAAGTATATTTATATAATATTTACGGGTAGTAAACTTATTGTCTGTGTTAAATATTGTTTTTCTCCAGTCATGAAAATTACACGAAATAGTGTGGGGTTTCTTACTAAATTCACACATCTAAAAACGTGTCCTCACAAACAGTAAGGGCTTCAAGGTTGTCCTTGTACACCTGACCTTTTCGCAAAGTAAAATTTTAAACCACCCTTTGCTTTTCAGGACAATATCCCCTCTCAAACTCGTGTAAAATACTAACCTCCACTACTGCCTATAGGGCTCGTTCCGTTTGTCAATCAACCTGTTATGGAATTATCCGTCTTAACTGGAACCTCGCCTATTTTTTCTAAATGTTAAACTTGTCTCGTCCTATTATTTTCAGAATATAGCACAAGGAAATTAAATATCTTTTATCTTATCTATCCCCCATCAATGATATGATCTCTTAACCTTTTTCTCAAGAGAAAATAAGATGGAAAGTCTTAATCGAGCCCTATAACGTATAAGACAACTCTTCCATCCCTGGAATCATCCTAGTAGCCTTATTAAAAAAGTCAATATTCTTTCTCAGATAAGGAGGCCTGAATTGTTTATAATATTCCAAGTGAGGCCAAACTAGTAAT